CCATCGAGTTCTTCACTTTTAGAAATGATTTGTTATCAAGTCACCTAGTCTAAATCAATTAATTAGGGGATTAATCATTTCACCGCAGATCAATCCACTTTGAGTATCATACATACCCTACCGGGAAACTAATTAAGAGCTGTGATCATTTCATATCTAAGAGAAAAGTTTCCCTATATCTGGAGGAACAATTTCATTACAGCCACACTCAAAAGTATTAAACTGTGTCACCAAAGAAACCTCGAAGAAAATTATCATGCAATTTCATCAGTCAACACTGTGGCTTTGGTGTAACTATAAACTCTTTCCGAGGAATTATATTCCATTATCTATCAAGCCTTTGGAGATCTGAGCATTAGAGTTGGGCTGAAGCTGCAAAATTAATTGGAAAGACTATTACGCAACAGACGTATCAAGATGACTGCTAAATACCTCTGTGATTGCTATTTAGATATAGTTTCCAACAAAAAAAAACAACAAAGCCTATTTGGTGACAGTCATGAGAGAAAAATGTAACAACTTCTTGAAAAATAATTACATAATTTCAACAGAAGACTTAAATACTAATCAGGCCTAACGAAAATTCAAAGTCTCTATGAGTCAGAAGTAAACATTACAAAAATATACTAACAAAAATGAACGCATCCCAGAAAGTATGATCAGCAACTCTTTGTAGAATGGAATTTCTTAGGCGTTCCTCTATTTATATTCTAAATTCACAAAAGTCAATTAAAATAAATAACAGTTGTCAAATTCATGGCACAACGGTAACTAGATTTCTACATTCATTATTATCAAAATAAAATTCAGTGATTCACACCATAACTAATGAATATTAAAATCTATAAAATGATTTTTAAACACTGCACTAAAATTCACAAAATAGACTATACTTATCTGAGCCTTTCATTCAAGAAACACTTTATTGTGATATTTTCACTAAACAGTTGTACAAAAACACAACACGTGTTTCACCGTACACCGGCTTCTTCAGGCGTGTCGTTACTAACTAAATCTACATATTCAATTCTTTATATATAGTTTCATAATTTGAAGTAACTAAATTTCAATACCTGAGATTTACCTAGCCAATTATTAACGTACTTGGGTTTGTAATGAATTAAACGACCTATTTCCACAGTTGAAAAAATAAGCACTTCGTCTTGTTGGAACGCCCATACTCGTTAAAAAAATGGAAGATGATCTTCCAGAATGTGTCTCCTTACTAATAAATTTAACCTGTTTTTGTATTTTTGCGAAAGATTTTTTTTCTGGCAGTTCCCCTTGTAAGGTCGATAGGTAATCACCAAACATATAGAAGCTGTCTGGGCGATGAGCATCATATACCTGAGCACCTGAGCAGTATTCCAAAACTGGTCGAATCTGAATAGCTATGTTCTGTCACAGTAGAATAATACAACCAGTAGGCTCTCTCACCACGTGATCCACTCGAGTTGCCGGGGACCTTCAACCGCTCTCAGGATGATATTCTCATCCAACGCGTTCAGTGCTGTAGTATCGAAGGATTTGACGGTGCCACGGACATCGGATTAGTTATGATAAACGGTCGGAAATTGATATTGTGTTTAGTTTATTCGCTGTTGTTATTATTGTTTGCAGTTTTTGTAGTTGGTTATAAGTAATTTACCACAAAATATTCTATAATAACCTTGAATTTCGTTTTTATATGAGCGCACGCCTGAAGCAAAAGAATGAAATTGATTCCACACTTCGTTTCGAGGTCACCGAGAACTTTGTGAATGAGAGTAGTAGGAGTGGAGTTACTGGTTGATTTTTACTATGGTTCTGTCATGAAGAAGACAACCAAGTTTTCGCCATGATGGCAATATTTCTGATATTATCATTCCATGAAAATATTGTTTATGCCGCATTCCGTTGAGGTAATGCCTCAGGTGATATAGAAATTTCCACCCCAGGTATAACGTTCTCGTTTTTCTGGAGAAGAGACGAATTTGATTGATTGGTATGTTTGACTTCACAGTACGAAAAGTATGACATACTGGCGAAAATAATTGTTTGGTTGAATGTGTTGCGAACCTTGGCTCTCTCACAATTGACCACATAACTCAATTTTTCACACCCTTGCGTCACTATGGACTTTTAATAATCACTTGTCCTAAAAACATACATTTGACATAATTCAATAAAGACCTCTCAAAAGAGATACTAAATAACCTCCCTTGCTCTTCCAGAGAGCATTTTTATGGGGTTAGCTATTATTTCGAAGGGTTTGAAGTGGTAGTGACATTTTCAAGCCAGATAATTTCGTTAATAATACTTATTTACCTCATTCAGTTATTAAACAGCAGCGAAGGAGACGAATTTATTTAATAACATTGAACCGCATTGTGTTTTAGAGATTAATGGTAACCTTGGCACAATTCTTAAAGTAATTTTGTTCAAATTTCGTATTTTTCTATGAAATATTCAATGAATACTGTAAATATAGCAGCGTTGATATTATCAAAAATATGCAAAAAATATTTTGCTTTTATTTGATGAGAATCATCTGTTATTTTCCAGAAGTGCTTTGTATCTAGTTCAAAAATAACAAAATCAACATCCGACGGTGCATATCTAAAAATGCAAATCATTTGAATTTTCACGGAAGTTAAAATCAGCGGAAGCGTGAAATTCTGAAGCAGAAAAATTAGTAGTCCAAAACACTGGTCATGGCATGTTGCGTCCCGCAAAAGTCGTTACCTATATCTGACCATTCATTCCTTTGTCAGATATAATAGTATAGAAGTGTTTCTTCTTTTCCTGTTTAATAACTGATGATCTGATTTTCTGTCAGAAATTTTTACTTCGAATAAGTGTTTTAAAGTTCAAGAACCTTCAAAAAACAAAATTCGATTTTATCTGTGCTACCAAATCATGCAGGCTGATTTTTAAAGCGAACCATTAGTGGAACCTAGAAAACCTTTAAAGTTAAAAGATCGGTTGAATTACAAAAAGGTACTGAAATAAAAAAAACATGAGGCATTTTCAAGATATTTGAAGAAAATCAAATGTATTATCAACCGTTTCGATTCACGATAACCATCATCATGCTTTGATCAATGAAAAACTCAATAATAAAATACACATTGAATGAGATCCCTCGGATCTGTTATAACTGTTGTTGAGATATTTTGTGTAACTTTATCACAAGTATTACGGATTTTTTGTTTCAGGTCTTCCACTTCTATTAGGTGGATAACGATAAACTTTATTTTCAATATGTACCCAAATTCGGCCACCGAATTGGAACATTATTACGAATCAAATGCTTTCTTTTTATGTTTTCAAAAACAATAACATGAAAAATATCGTAAAATGTTCAGTAGAGAAAACAAATATCTTACCCCAATCAAACTCTCCTTAAAAAATATGGCCCTTTCAACATTCCATCCAATATACCATTCCAAACATTGATATCAAAACTTTCTTAGAAATTTATATCAGGGGTTGGACGCTTGTTCACTTCACTTTAATAAAAGTGAACATTGCCATTGAACATGCCATTATTAATGAATCTACTTTCATCTGCCACATTATTTTGAAACCAATCTTTTCTGCATTTTGAAACCAATCTTTTCTGCATTTCTGCATCGTGGTCCACGGGTTGGACGCTTGTTCACTTTAATAAAAGTGAACATTGCGATTGAACATGCAATTATTAATGAACCTACTTTCATCTGCCCACATTATTTTGAAACCAATCTTGTCAGTTCTTCTTCAACAGCCAACTACAGAATCTAATTCTATCGACATATAAATGATGTGTTTTTCCAACAAATTTATTTTGAGGTAAACATGATTATAGAGAATCATCTATTGAAAAGTTACATGTTTCCTATAATTTTCTGCATCGTGAAGACGTTATTATCTTCCTTATTCACTTGATATAGCAGAAAATGAAAACTTAAAATGATTTTGCCGGAATACCCTTTCCATGATGAGAAAAGGGTGCTTTCAAAACATAAAGTCAAAATCAGATCCGTATTTTCTTTTCAAGTCTTTCGTTGGTTGAACCATGCTGATAGTCATCGTGGACCAAAACTGTCGATAATACATCAAATTTGACGCAAGGCTGAATGTGGGACAGAAACATCTACAAAATTCCACAGAGAAAATAACAGGACCATCTTAAAAAATAAGAGCTCTAAATCAGAAAAACNACCGTTTGGTGTTGGGAAAAAACTCCAGTAATATTCATTACTTCGCCAAAGTTTGTAAACAGTGCATCATAAGTACATGAGGTATGATTATGACACCGAAACCAAACTCCATTCGTTCCAATAAAAGAGTCTAGAAGAGCCAAGACCAAAAATATCACGACAAGTTCGATAAAATAATGAGGTTTTGCTCACCATTTCCTTCAATTACCGTGGCGTAATGCATCAGGAGTTCTTACCACATGGTCTTACGATCAATAAGATATGCAGTGCTAGCCAAAAAACCTGGAAAAAAGCTTTCTTACAATAAGGAGTATTTTCTTGAAGTTATACGCCGCTTGCGAAAAGCACTACGAAAAAAACGTCCGTTAGTGTATAAAAACAATTTATGGATTTCGCATCACGATAATGTACCTGATCACCCTCATTGCTTGTTCGTAATTTTTACTTCAGCCACCGAATTCACCAGATTTGGCCCCAGTGACTTTTCACTTTTCCCTAGATCAAAGAGACCCTTGAAAATACGGCGTTTTACGACGATTGAGGAGATAAAAACCGAAACACTGAGAGAGCTCAAGGACACACAAAAAGTGCAAATCAGAAATGATTCGAAGTTTGAAAAAAATGTTGGCACAATATCTGAGGGGGATTCCTTTGAAGGGCACATAGTAGAAATCGATGAATAAATGAATATTGTTTGAGAAAATGACAATTCACTCCATTGTTTAGCATACCTCATATACTGTAAATATAAGGGATTTAGAATTGATTCCTGAACGTGGAAAGTTCTGTCGTTAGATAAAAAATTCAATGCTTGGATCAAGATGATTTTTCAATAATAATACCTACGCTAGTACCTTGTTCTGAGACTTCATTGGGTTTGTTGATAGGGATTAATTCCTTCGACAAAACCATGGTGGTAGTTGTTGGAGCATGTGTTGTGATAATTTCAGGAACAATCGGTCTCAGGACCTCCGGATCAGTTTCTGGTTTCCTGAAATAAATTTGAAAGAAATGTAATATTTCATTTGATGTCTTTTTGGTTTGAAGAAAACAAAAAATATCGTTAATTTGATTTGAAAGTATGAATAACTTTCACTTCGCATTCTAGTGACAAAAATAAATGTTATGTGGATTTTTACATTTTTGACATGTTCGTGTCTAGTTTAATAATGAAGTTACCTCCTTAATCAATAAATTCTGAGTTTAAAAAGTCGGAATTTGATAAAATTCTCAAGTTCAAAGTCGACATACTTATGAATTAACCATTTTATTGAGTCCACTTGCATGGAGTCCCCTGTATCCATGCGGGGGACTCCATGGTAATGATCTGAGATTGTCGTTGTAATTTTTTTTTTTTTTAAACACCTCAATTTTGGACTCCGACCACGACATCCACGTGCCATCTTTGAGAATTGTCGTTATCGGCACAACCGTCCTCTGTCACGATCGGAGAGAAAGTCCCTGAAGTTACCTAGTCAACATTCTAGTTTTTCAAAAAAGGTTCAAACAGAGTAAACTTGAAGACATCTACGTAGTATTGCTTGAGAAGTGGCAACTGTATTGAGAAATTGAATCATTCCAAATATTAAATTGAATTAAATGTTTCTTTCTTGAAATTTTAAATAATAAAAATTATCGTCGGGTTGTCCGATACACAGTACAGCATGACGATAGTATCTAAATGAATTTTAATGAATAGGTGGAATATATGAATAAACTTAAACTTACGAACTTAAAAAGAAGTATAACTTCTTACGTCCGTACATTTAGTACATACCTACACTGTTTTTTTATGTAATATGTCATCCTTGCTAGAATATTACTGTTGAATTCATCATTCATAAACTTTACTTGATTGAGTAGCTTTTTGATAGTGATGGAACCTCAAATCGAATATAATAAAAATTACTCTTTACAATACAATAGCTTCCTCAAGGGTAAACAGTTTACGCTTGAGGAAGATATTGTATAGCGAAATACGTGTCGCGGTTTTTGTGAAACCCTTTATATTGAAAATCATACAATAAACTGTATTATTTAGTTTTAATATGGGTTATCATGTATCGACCAATTCTACTCAATTACAAACTATAAGTATAGTTAAAAACTTCAACAAATATTTGAAGTGATACCTTGAATTGACATAACTTCTTATTCTTGAACGGATTCGAATAAACTGAATACTGAGCGAAGTTTATCGGTTAGGTCGTTTTTGAGATTCGACAGAGAGACAAACAGGCAGGCAATCAGTTGGTAAGACATATTCACGCCAGAGTAAACACTATCTCAGACCCTAGATATATTGCACAGAAACATACCGTGTTAGGAATGACACGTTAAAAGGTAAGACCTCGTTAGTCCTTAGCTCGCACAAGTTTCTCAACTTCTGAGAGTTGTCGTTCGTATGGGGGCGACAGCTGATTATAAACGGAAAAACATATTTTAAACAGATACGCTAGCATTTGACCAGAAGCCACCATCAAAAGAATATTTTAAACCACTTTCAATTATTATTTTGCAATGTCAATAGATAATTATTCTCTAGCAATAAAACATATACAATGCATTCCATTTAAAACGAGCCACCCTGAATAACTGTTGGTTCCTCCTCAATTGCCCTATTGATGCACGGTATTATTCGATTCTCCAACATTTGCAAATATTTATCAATAGTCAAATTATCATCGATAAAAAAGGTCATATGATGTGGTCACCTAAAATTCCGGCCCAAACATTCAGTTTTTGAGGTCGTTGGGTATGAACTTGACGATATAAATGAGGATTCGTATCACTCCAATATCGACAATTTTGCCAATTCACCTCTCCATTCAAACTAAACGTATATTCATCCGAAAAACAAATTTTATACTAGAAGTTCATATGCGAGTTGATCCGTTCGGTGAGACTTTCACAAAACTTGATACGTATATTGAAATCATCTTCGTTCAATTCATGAAATAGTCTAATCTTATATGGATGAAATTTGTACTTATGAAGGATCCTGAAAACATTTGTACGACTGATTTCTGATTTTCGAGATAACTTAGTAAGAGAATGCGAATTTTCTATTAGTCCAACGTGCCTTAAAACTGCAGTACATATGGGCAGCAGCTCTAGCACTATTTCCATTCTGGTAGTACAAACCCACTATTTCAATCCGTTCTCGAAGCGTATAAACCATTGCTTCTCAAGAATTCACAAAAGCAGAAACACCAATTGTAACTTCACCTGGTAGGTAAGTTATACCTACCAGGTGTAGGTATAACTTACCTACCAGGTAAGAATATCGAATGAAGAGAATATCGAATTCCAACTCAACTAGGCAAAATAAGACTTTTTGTAGTATACTTCACGAAAACTCCTATGAAACCAAGGTAACAGATTGTACAGAAGTTCATTCAGGGTGGCTACTTTTCAACTCGAATAATTTTTTGCTTCCAAACTATGATTCAGACCATAATGTATTCTACTTTGTTGAAATCTGTTTATCATGGAACATCTGATAATGCAAAACAATTGATCCTTTAAAAAAATGGTGACTTCTCTGGGGGTGCTCTAGGAAAAGTTTAATAAAATGTGAATATGACAAAATGTGTCCCCCTGTATACTATTGTTGAGGTGGTTTTTTATTTTTCCTGAAAATCATTGTTCCAAAAATTATCCAGGGTGGCTCGTTTTCAACTCAAATAATTTGTAGCTCCCGTACCATAAGGTTCAGACCATATGTTTTCTACTTTGTTGAAACCTGCTCATCATGAAGCACCTGATAATGTGAAACAAAATAGGTGATACATTTAAAAAAATTGGTGACATGCTCTGGGAGTGCGATAGGGGAAGTAACATAAAATGTGAATATGTCAAAATGTGTCCCCCTGTTTACTATGCTTGACGTGTTTTTTTTATTTTTCTTGCAAATCATTGTACCAAAAATTATTCAGGGTAGCTCGTTTTAAATGGAATGCACAGTTAATTTCTAACCTGATTATAATTAAAATATCCCACATTCGTTCTATATTGCACTTGCATTACCTTTTCGTCCTCCTAGTTAATTTTTATCGTACTTGTCTTCATGTAAACCTCTACAATGAGAATAGATTATAATTAGCAAATATTACCTGAGCTTTGTTAAATCCTGTTCGTGCTTGGTGAGCTTAATTTGGCTTTCTAAATCCGGCAGATGTCTATTTATGGCTAGAACGGCGCTCGAATAGTTCACGTGATGAGTGAATTTACATTTAAAATCTTCTGGCGGACCACAATGGAAGAGGTAACAGCTACCAGAATTCTTGAAAGAAAAACGTATAAGAATTAGTCTGGAAAAAAACGATACTAATTCTTCTGAAAACTACAAAAAAATTGAACTACGGCATAATCATCCTAGAAGGAGGATAGCTGGAAGTTACTTTACAGGATGAGTAGTGTTGCCAATAGAAATTGCACAAAATACTCCAAAACTTGAGACAAAATGCTTGTATTTTACTATTGTTATTTTTCACTTGTATTATCCAACAAATAGTATAGCTCAGTTTGAATCAGACCAGAAATTATTTTATGGAAATAATAAAATTAATTATGAAAATGTTAGACTACTTTGTATTCAACTAATAGTATTTCAATAAAGCTACAAAACACTAAATGCATCAGGAAAACTTTTTTTTTGATGTCTAAGTCTACGTCAATATATATTGGGGAACTTCCAATGTAAGAAAGAAGGAAAAATCAAATGTATCAATTGAAATGAAGCTTCAGAATCAAACTAAAACAAAAAGTACATTATGTCAATTATGATCATTGAATACACGGAAATCACTTATAAAAAAAGTGCGATTTGAATCAATTCAGAATAACAAACAACATCTACAGGTTGGAAGAAAGTCGCAAAAACACGTAAAAAAGTTGAGGTGAACAATTTTTCAGCAGAAATTGTTTTGCTCTTTGTTGTGATCTGCCCCCAGGAGCTACTTCCCGAAAAGTCTTAAATGGAAAGTAGTGGTAGCCCATTTGGAGGGTCTCTGAACATAAACAAGATGCATAGGAATACTATGGTGTAATCCCTTGATTCCTTTTCTATGTAAAAGTTTTAGATGAAAACACTCGATTTACGACACTCTGGATTCTCCATAAAATAAAAAGATCCAACATATTTCGGAATCCCATTTACAGTGGCGTTAAGCGTATACCAATGTAACCCGCCATTTTATAGCTGCGCGCATCTTGAATTTGCATCTTTTTCAAAGTGTTAATACCACTATTCTACTAGTCAAAACCTGTCATTTGATACCCATATTGGGGTGGTTGTGAAAAAATATGTAATCCGCCATTTTGTAGCTGCGGTCATCTTAGATTTACAATGATACAAAATTTATTAAATTGTATTGTCATCAAAACCAAATGTGTTTACCAAATATCAGATCAATATATCAACAGGAAGGAGGTCAAACTTCAATTATTAAATTTGACCTAAACAAACAAACGGGGCAAGCTGAATAAAACCGTTTGAAAATGCTAAGCAAATTCATCGATATCATAAAATATATCGTTTCGATCATAACAGAGGTATGCAAGAAAAACCAGCTACTTAAAATAGTAAGAACATTCAATTTTCAGAAGTCTAATATGTGTAACAATTTTCCAGCATTTATAATGCATTTATACTTCTTTGGAATTAACTCAAATCAAGAGTGCGCTATAAAAATACATCGCCAAGCTTGTGAGGAGTGTTCCTCAATTTGGGTTATGCAAATTGCAAATGCAAGTTTGAACAAAGTAAAGTTGACTTTAATTCATGAGTTTTTCAAATTCACTTCGAAAAGTATTCAAATTGATGTTTCAAATGTTGGGCTTTGGTTTGTTTCTAACTCACATATTGGCAAGAGCCCTATATCAAGTTGAAATAATTTATACGTACCTAGATATTCTACTTTAAAAAAGGAAAATTATCTTTATAAATCAACAATTGAGGCAAAATATAAATTATAGTTCAATACCACCTCCACAAGCCACATAAACAACAGTTGTTTTGTTATTTTTTATATATAAGAAGATAGGTTAGGTGCACAAAATGTCATCGGAACTAGGAACATAAGTAAACAGAACAGCACGCATCTGAAATATGTCATCTTTGTTTGTCTCATACAGGTAACAGATTAATTGTCCTTTAATAGCTATAACCGATGTTGGTGAAATAGAAACGAATCCCTTTAAATGTTGAATGCATTATTTCATTCCTCTTTTTTAAGTATTTAAATAATTTTTTAAAGAAAAAGGTTGAAACGATAAGTTTGAAATGCGTTGTTTTAGAGCTCTTTTATGAAAACTACTTGATTTTCGTCAGGAGGAACATTCCCCATAATCCCAAGAGACGAAACAATTCCGTAACAGAAATGTTAAGGCGATAATTTATATAATTAGTTTCCTACCGTTATAGATCCATTAATAAATAATTTAAAAAACAGTGATTTGGATTATGACTTTTATTAGGTTTGTATTCGAGCCAGAGCCAAAGCTCGACTCGAAACCGAGCCGAGTAGCGGAATTTTTCACGAGCCGATCCGCAGTTATTGCAGCCCGAGCTCGATCCGGAGAGTCTGGAGACTAGCCGAGCTTATGTCGAGTTTTTTTGAACCATTAGAGGGTCCCTTTTCACCCCTTAGAGAGGGATTTGAAAAAACAGGTATAGGTATCCCCAAGTATCTACCGAAGTACATTTAAAGGGTCTAGCTCCCTTTTCAACTCCTTAAGGGTTGATTTTTGCCACACTCCAACATTACATGGGATACCGGAAATGAAAAGTATGCGCCTGCTTAGAATAAAATCACGTAGATCTCAATGTTACTGTAATCAAATTATGCCAAAATTCTTAAAAGAAACAAATATCCAAAAACATCAGCTATGAAATGACAGTAAACACAAAACTATACAATGACAACTCAATGTATCAAAACGGTTTTTATCTATTCTCAAAAGTTATACATTTTGGAGCTATTCGGTTAACAACCTTTGGTATTGATATGTTTTCTTATTAAGTTTACGTTTTCAACGTTAGGAATGACAAATGTGCCATGAGAAGGTTCACCACCCTTTTGTGCCCCCTTTAAATTATAATTTGGAAAAACCCTGGTTCTAGGGCTGGTCGTTGATGAATGAGTATTTCTTCAATATGGATTTGACTCGAATTTATAACAAACTAACAACTTTCCCAACGCTTACGCCAAATAATTACTTTTTTACTTTTTTGCAGGACAAAACACAAGCACTACAGAAAAATCTTTAAGGCGCTCTAAGAGCGGTGCCTGTGCGAAAGTAGCGATTTACGTTGGATCTGATCTGAGCTTCATGAAGCATCAAAAGTTGCTGAGGTGTGTACAGTTTGCTGGTTCGGAACAGTGTTCCAAGCTTTTGATAAGCAGCCTTTGCAATCCCAGCGACATGATTGTGCCAAGACATATTGGTGTTTTAACCCTCAACAAACGTATCGAAACAAAAAGCGGAATTGTCTGACATAATTATAACCAGTTCGGAGACATTTATTTTTTTGTAGAAAACCGATTCCTGTGTTTTCATGGCATTGAACTGAACCTGGTTAGTTTCACGCCAATTCGAAATCACTTCTGGATCCTCATAAGATATGCAACCTCCTGCTGCCGGTGAAGATGTGCATCCGCAACCGATGTATTGGAATCTAAATGGAATGACGAAACAAGTGTGCCGTCGCGTCGTCAGTAAAGCAATATATTGGATTCTTCGTTTTTTCCATTAAGTCGTTGATATACAATAACAAGATGGTTGCAGACAATATGGTATTCGAGAGATATCCATCGACGGCCAGTTGCATGGAACGTTCTTTCAGGAAGCTGGAGAGCCATATACAAATATGATCCGACAAGTTTGGCCAGCAAAACCTTATTCCATACCCGGTCAAAACAAGGAAAAAATTCTTCACGATACCCTCTATGTTATTACGTTTACATTTTCCATTGAAACATTTGTTACCTTTCACTCATATTCATTGCAGTCATTCATTTTACTTATGTTTTTATCGTATATGAACTATATTCAAAGGTAGAACTCACCTTTTCCTCGAATACGAAAACGTCACAATTCTCAGTTTCGCAACATAACCGCAAACATTCCTCCCTAGATCCCAAATCTATTTCGTTCAGATATTTTGCTCCCATGTTTTGAGAATCTTGCGTTCTAATTATTTTATCTTTGTGTACATTGAAGTTATCAATGCAAGTTTGCAAATCTATTTCGGACCGTTTCACTCGTAATTTTTCTGAAAATCGTTCACTGCCCACAAGCGATATCAATATAAAGAAGGCTGAATAATTCATCACTACAAATAACATCTCGATAATTTTTTGGTATAAAATGTACAAAATTTCTGTAGGAAAATGACTGAACTTATCAGCTGCGAATGGCAGATCGATAATCGTTAGTTTGCGTTTGCGCATCCTCGTACAACGCTCTTCCTTGTAGACGCTTAGGAGACCGATAATGTAGCTTCGAGTATATTCAAATTCAATTCAATTCTCCGGTTAGAAAATCTGGAAGCAAATCAAGATTGAGCAATTTTTTTTTCAAGAATCATATTGTTAGAGAAAATTATATTTATTGCCAAAGTATTCTCGATTAGGTACAACTCATGATTCTGTCACACGCTGACAAGGCAGAACGAATAAGGGAAGAACGGGGGAATTGCCGTCACTTAAAGAAAACTCCAAAAACTCCTCATAATACTTTGTTATGGTATGATTAATTGAGAGTTTTACTAGTCAACATATAAAAAAAGATTGGCTACCTTTGCCTATTGGTATCTATTAAACCAGAGTATGGGGGTAATGAGATTCACTGGGACAATGGTAACGAGCACAAAATGTGCCAAAACATTATTTTGTTAAAACATGTATATTATATATTATAATTTAAGGTTTCAAGTTTTAAAATGAAACTATACTATGAGGAATATGCAAAACCAAGTTTGATTTTATGTACTTCAAAACAATCATTTCCTGATACAAATATCGCAGACATATTTTTTTAGAATCACTTCTTGAACATTACTACAGGCCCAGCATTCAAATGATTACTCATTCGATTTTCCTGATTCAACAAATTATACATTTTTTAGAATCTTCATCTACGACTAATATCATCGCAGATGAGCTGTTATCATCATCTTCGAACAGAAATTGTTTGGTTCATTGTTTTGTTTTTGCAATAGTTTTTCCTTTAGGTACGCCATTTTCTTTGACGAGATGATGCTTCTTCTTCTCTTCTAATGAAGTTCTTTTTGGAGTGGAAGTGATTATTCGAGAGTGTTGTATACTTGTTCGTTTTCAGACTTTTCCAGAGGTTGATGTTTCTGGAGATATAAGTGTCAAAACAGCATTTAGGTTAGAAAAAGCAAAATAAAGCATTCTTTCTGGTACATTCATCATTATTACAAGGGTTATCTCCGGTAGATGTTTCTGGTAATTGAGTTTCTTCGACAGTGAATACATTAGAGGTAGCGATATTTACAATGAAATAGTCATCGTTGCTGAATACATTCGTATCAATCGGGCTTATCCCAGTGACACGGAATCCATTTGTAGCTACTTTGCTGAATGCTTTCTGAAATAAACCGATGTGACACGTATGATGAAGAAAGGTTGTTTTACATAGTATATCATTTTGAAGGTTAAGATAGTATGTTTATTTAGGTTGTCATGTATGGTGAATATACTCTTGTTCAAATGAAGGGTCATCATCATCATCAGTTACTAGCAATGGTTTGGCAAATGCTAGTTTATTCACATCTGTATTTGTTCTCTCTTCAACTCACAGACTTTATTCACCTTCTTTGGTGTTAGGTTAGGTTAGGTCCAAAGTGAGTGGGTCTATTCGACCCTCCATCGCAACCCGCAAGGGTTTATTGTGGCTCAAACCTATTCACATTCGACCAAATAAACCCAGCTTCTAAACGAAGCCGATTAGTTTTTATGGTGAGTGGTCTTTCAGGTCAGCGACTCTGATATTAATAATGCTGTACGCAAAATGAATTTGACTCTTGAAAACGCGGGGAAGTTTTTGAACATAAACAAACTCAAACTGAATACCACTAAAACGAAAGCTATGATATTGACAACACAATATAAATATAACTTAATTGATATCAACTCCATTAATATTGAGATCTACGGCGAAACTATAGAAATTGTGGAAGAATTCAAATACCTGGGCTTCATCGTTGATAACACTTTGAACTTAAAAAAACAATTCCAGTATATGTGTAATAAAATTTCCAAAAAATGTTTTTCTTCACTAGAATTAGTGGACAATTAACATTTCAATCTAATTTGACTGTTTATAAAACAATAATCCTACCACAGTTTGATTAATTACTGTGCCACTTTGATATCATTACTAGACGGTAATTCTATCTCTACTCTACAAAAATTACAAAACAAAGAAATGTTCTTGTTATTAAAATGCCATAAATATACTCCTATATTATCAATGATTGATATTCTAAATTGGATGGCAGTAAAATGTATATTACAATATTTTTCTATGATATTCATATTCAAAATACTCACTGGAAAAGCACCACATTACTTCAATGAGTTTATTACATATAACCATCAGATACACAAATACGATACAAGAGGAAAAGATAGTTGGTTGTCCCACGAACTTGAATTCTATTTTTCATAGAGGACTCTTGGACTATAACAAGCTTCCTAATGAAATTAAACAAAGTAACACCCTCCAACTCTTCAAACGATCCTTATCTCAATATCTACGGGCACAATACTATTCCAGTTGAGTTGTTCATCATTTTTCTCTCTATTAATCTCTTCATCACCTACTACTGCTATTTTTCCACTATATAGGTCTTATATATTTCATTTTTTTGTAATTTTGTTTAATAACTGATATATTTCTATAATATTTATGTATATTAGGATATCTATGCCAAATAAATCTATTTCTAATATTTCTATTTCAGATGGTAAGAGTACGGCTCTGCCGGACTTTAAAAACCTGATTCGGTCCCCAGCGGGGTTCGACAGGCTTGTTGCAGGCTCTTCCTTCGAGCTACATAGATCGCATCTTTGGCACCATTTTTCCACGCCACGACTATAGCTGACTTAAAGTACCTTTGTTTTGATTGGCTTCCGGGAAGCCAATCAAAACAATCAAATCAAACGTCAGTTTTGAAAGCCTACATTCCTATATAAGTCTTACTACAAGTACGTTTGTTGAACACGCTCCAGGGCATGGTTAATACCGAAAGTGTTCTCACGTTCGTCTTCTATTGAGGTGGACTCAATAGTGTTATTGGTAAGACCAGCTGGCGAACCTTCGTTGTTTCGCCTGAGTTTGCCCGCTTGCGATATATTTCATCGAGGCCACTATTCCTTGAAAAACTCTGCTGTTGAGCCACCATTGAACCGTCCCCAAAACAATATCTTTGTTCTAGCTCTCTCTTATGGTTCATAAGTCTGGTCCCACTAAATACAATAGTTGTATCACGAATCGGTTGAGGAATTACTCCTTTCTTCAGGAGTGCAGGTTCTGAAATATCGATCATCAGTGCGCATACTTCTTGATGTCTAGTTGTCATTGGAAAGCTTCATATTGTTTCTAGTATTGATGCATCCTTTGTCTTCTCTTAAGTCTGTGCAATCTGTTTTCTCTTAGACATTGACGATCTGTCGTTAGTACTCGATTGAGTCGGTAGCCAGGCGGTTCGACGTGGGTGCTTTGTTCGCTCACTCGAATTGACTGCCGTGTTGGTCGGTGGTTTAAGTCCCAGTCTGAACGATCGATTTTCACTTGCTATCGTCCAACCCGTGTTAGGAATCACACGTTAAAAGGTAAGACCTCGTATATCCTTAGCTCGCACAAGTTACGACTTCTGAGGGTTGTCGTTCGTAGGTTTGCTACAGCTAGTTAAGGGAAAAACAGATTTTTAAGATTTAAGATTTTAGATTCGAATACTTCATTTTATATTTCCGTCAAAACCCTTTACTTACATGCAGGGTACAGCGCGATGACTGTTGGTCAACCATATTTTGGGAAATAATAGCATTTTCCAATACTTCTGGTTATACCGGAAATTGGTACCAATTTCCTTAATTTCAACCTTTCTTCATTAAAATTAAGTATCCTAAATGTTTCATAAAAGAGCGAAAATTCAAAAATATTGCAGCCTTTTCAAACAAAATACAAAAACTATCTCAAAATATGTTAGATTTCAACGGCATCTAGGGCTTTGAATGCTTGTAAAACTTTTCTAGCCATATTCTCCTCACTTGTTGCATGATTTGCATACAAAATATTTTTGATATGTCCCCATACATGTACGTAGGAGACAGATCGGGAGAACGTGCTGGCCAAAGGTACGGCCCATTATTGGCAATCCGCCTATCAAAACAAATGATCGAGTAATACAGTTCCGCAATTATGAAGCGGTACTCCATTCTGTTGGTATCAAATATTGTTCGCATCTTCAAGTGATAAATTATTCACTGAAACTCCCATAACATTCTGTAGTATGTTACAGTATCCTTCACCATTCGAATTTTCATGATAGATACGTATACAAACACAGGATCCTATTGTTCTTTATAACACAATTGATGTTAAAACTCTAACTTTCGTGAAAATACCTGTCACGGGCAACGTTTGGATTTTCATAGGCCCAAAAATGAGTATTATGATGATTGAATAATCCATTTTGTTTATTAATTATTTATTAGATCCATGTTCAAAATGGAGCTGAATCATTGGTTTTCGGTCGTTCATTATAACCTCATTTGGAGATATTCTCCTCGATAGTGATATTCATATGATACTAGCGAACCGCCCTGGCTCCTCACGGATGCAGTGTTGATACTAAATATAAATTCATCTGCCCGAAATTCAAGGGGATGGACAAACAGGTGACTTTATTTTATGAATGCGCCTTTTTCCTTCGCGACTGATGTCCTAGTTGAAATATTTGAAAAGCCTTCCTTATTGCACTTCTGCAACATAAAACGAACCTATATACAATCCAGTAGGACCCAGTAGATAGTGCTTCAATTACTTTTGAGATATTATTTCATTTCGGTTCAATCAATTTCATAATTGCAGTTATACCGATACTGCAGTAGCGATGTTATCGATAGAAAATTGACAACTTTCATTATTATCATCATTGCGAAGTACAGGTGAATGAATAGACTATGATGTCACTGCAACAAAGGTGAATCATTTCACCGCTCTCTTCGGACAAAGACTTTTTCATTACTTAGAATCGAGCGCGGGAAAAATTCCTGCTGGTAAATCCATTGCAGGATTAAAAATGTCTTTATTCGACGTGAGTCGAGTTTACCCGATAATGTTTCGAGTCTCCTCCGCCTGAACGCATTTTAACGCAGGCGTTTGCTGTAACCGGTGCGTCTTTGTGATCCTCTATTGAACTTTTTAGTCGGTTTGGTGTTAGTGATTTGGCCCTAAAGTGCTATTTTCGGGCGGTGGCTCTATACTTCTGAGGAGGATTATAAATATCAGGCGAAATGTAAGTCATCATTTGGGATATTGTCGGTTTTGTACACTACTGCAGCGAAATGTGATCTATAACTTTGGTTGAAAGCAGAGCTCGACTGTATCTGCATTGTTTATTATTATGTATTAAGATAAACATTATTGAACTGCAGTGTTTATCACTGAACATGTCTAATATGGATTTAACTTCAACATTTTAAAACATAATGTAGAAGCTCAACAGTTATTCGTATTTTAAACTAAATGATTTCAGAATTATTTTCATCATCATTTGCGTTAATGATCAAGTGCTGTGTTCGGTAAATCTACTAAAAATGAACAATTTATAAGTTTTTGCAATAATTGTATCAGTAAACAAAATAGGTAGGTATGGAACTCGGTGTAGGATATTGCCTATATCTAAGATTTTCAGTTTTTTCGGTTTTTCTCTCGATGTGAGAGTTCACCTGATTTGAAAATAAGGTGCCTGGTGGTACTTCTTGTTTCCTCAGATTATGTCGAAAGAATTTTACGCGGAATCACTTAAACTTCAATGAACATATTATCCAAAACACATGATGACGACGAACATGAGAAAAAATATCAATTTCAACCTTCAAAATATACATTTACTTGATGGATCAGCGGATAAGAAATCTGTTAAGAAATATGATACGAAATTATTTTTACAGTTGGTTGAATTTTTATTATCGGAAAATCACCTGTTTAGAACGGTGTCGTTGGATAATTGTTAGCACTTAAGACCAAGAAGGTATGTAGATGAGATTCAATAACAGCCCTTTTCGTGGTATAATTCTGTAAAACAGAGTGGAAATTTGAGTGAACTTAAAATTATTTCTAATATTTTCAATACAAACTACGAATATAAATATGAAGAAATATCAATACTCATTGTTTCCCTACCGTGTTTTATAAATCACAAAAGTAAAAGATTAATGAGGGATAACAAATGAATATGAAGGTGCACCTTCTTATTACATCTAATTCAATTTCCATACAAATAAGTAACAGAGAAACAGAATCACTCGACATCTAGAAATGCATTTGAACTATAAAATGATGCGGTAACGTTTACTACCTTTCTTATTGAGTTTTAAATGCTGAACTTTCAAATTAATTGTTCCTTATGAAGATCCCACGCTCAAGAATAGGATGTTTTCTACCTGGGATTTTCGAAAACCATCTGAACCCCAAAATATATCGTGGAAGGAGGTCGAAACATTGATCACTTTTCTCCGTTTACCTGTAAGTGAATTGTTCCTTTTTCCTTGTAATAACAAACCCCGCTACCTGCTATTTCTTCTACCATTTTATTCAAACTGGTTTTTTGATTTTTATGCAATATCAATATTCGAATCATCCAAAGCATTATGGTGATGATAAAATCGATAAGAAATGAGGAGGTCAAAGTTAATTTCATCACGGAGGTCTTGATGAATTCTCCAGCAATGTTTTCAAATGTTAATACGTCCGGTTCTGCCAGTAAAAGAGTTGAATGAACGTCATTGAATAACGCGTAGGCAGCTGTCGTAGATAATTTAATGGTAATTTCGCTGAATAGGATTGGTAGCGATATGGAATTTTTTTTCATGCTACATATATTATTGAAAGGATTTTTAGAATCACTGGCTTTTCGCCTACTGAGATTTACAGTACCACAGCCGCCTACATAGTGCGTGATCAAATCTCGTACTCGTTTGTGAAAACGAAAGGCAGTATCTCTGTTACATACCACCACCCACAACCAGTACATATTGATATTCTGTAATCGTGCACCTACTTCAACCTCCAATTTATCAAATACTACCAAAAAGAAAAGAAGTATTGTTTGGGTTACTAAATGATTAGGTAGTTATGAAGAGCGGTACATATCAGAAATAAGCGACGGATTGTGGCTGCTCATCGTTTTGAGGTTCAACTCAGTACATCTCGAACTTCACTGTTTAAGAACTCCCTCATCTGGAAAACTGCGTTTATGTGGAATGAACTTCCTGAGACCGTCTTTCCAGCGATTCAAATCTACTGTGAATCGCTACTTTCGCACAGGCACCGCTTTGAGATCACCTTGAGGATTTTTCTGTAGTGCTTGTGTTTTGTCCTTGAAAAAATCGAAAACACATTACATTAAAACGGACAAAACTTTTGATACAATCTTATATTGTAATTCTTCCATTTTGTGAAAAAATCTTAGTATTTTCTTCCCAGAGAGTTATGTTTGCCAAAATTTTGTTCATTATCTAAACCCTTCTAGTCAGATAATTGCATAAAGGGAGAGAAAAAAAAACGATAAAGTAAAGTTTTTTGCAAAAAATAAATCGATTCAAATGTTATCATCAGTCCTGGGCTGTCAAATAACTGGTTATCTGAACGACTGTATCAAAACTGACAGTGAATTTTCCATGATTTTTTATAAAAGTTGAGTGAGAGATCTATTAGGATATAGTTTGTGTATGAAAGTTACTTCTTTGTATGATCTACACATCTTTGTAAAGAGTGTATTTTGAAACCATTTGCTTCATTCTTTTCTTTGGAAGATTTTCACATATCTTTGTATGAAGATGGAGAAGTAGAAAGCCAAAACCTTCCCCAAAAAATACGGAAAATATTCTACACTATTTTATTGCTCATTGCCAGATCTCTCTTTTTATCCACCTGAATGATAGATTTCAAGAGAGGTTAACCCAAACTTTAGGAATCATTACTGAATTTGATTAAAGGTTAAAGGTACGTCAATAATGATACAAACTGTTTAGAGAAAGAATGCATTCCTCCATATATGTATTCTACAATGAACGTACTAGAAAATAAACAGTCAAATAGCAACCACATGGGTCTACAAATAACAACACCAATCCAACAACCAGCGACACCTCTCACAATCTACCTCGCACCTTATAATTTAATAAAAATAATTAAATTTGGCAGTAGATTCATGGAAACGTTAAAATAACTTCAGTAGGTAAGATTATCAAATACGTCAAGTTCATGATAAACAACACTTTTCTCTTTGTGAAAAATATATTAAATTTTGGCAGTAACTTATCGGGATAAATTGAAACTTTTCAGATTGTGGAATGTGTCGAAAATTTCTGAAGTCAATGAAAAAGTCGCTTCATTTCAGATAACCTCGATTGTGTCTGAAGTATCTTAAATGTTTCGTTGCTAAGTTAAAAGAGGGGGAAATACTTTGAAGCACACGGTATTAGTCAGACATCTGAGCTATTCCGAGTTTTTCTTTTAATAGCATTATGTCAGGTGGATGAACTCCAGCAGAAGCTCTATGTTTTGAATAAAAACGTTCGATACTTATAATAACATATCTACCTGACACACGTGCTGTGGTTTTATAATTGTTATTGTTTTAGCTGCATACGCATCTGTTCGTTTTAACAATACCAATGAACCTGTCTCAACTTACTTGAAAAATTGTTAAGACTCTCTTTATTTACATCTCCCAATATATCACTTAGCAGCACATCTCTATTTAACATTTTTTCTAGTCTCGTTATTTTGTATGTATAGTCGCAGACGAATGAATACATGGTACATCTGGATGGATTTGTGTAGAAAAACAAATTACATGTGCTTTTTTTCATGAAATTTTGACATAGAGATTGGTGAGATTGTTTCATAATCTTTCCTATTTGGTATTTTTGTTTGAAAATCTTTATTATTGAGAATTGTGTGATTGAAATATATCAAGTGGTTAGTTGATGTTGGTCTATGGTTGGGTATTTCGATTTTATCAAAGTAGAACAAGTTCATACTAACACCTCGGCGTGAAGATTAATTAATGATCTGAAAGCAGAGTTTGAACCTGATATTGATAAATATTATACAGGGTAAAAATTGTAATTTCTCCGATATGTATCACCCTGTATTGTACTTCCAATAACATTGCAATCAAATTATCAATCGGAAAATTTAGGGAATATTCAAAAAAACGATTTATTCGGCAAAAATGTTTTCTCGGTTACTTTCGATTTTCTGTCCGATAACTATCAATAACAAGTAGACTACACATTTTATATTTATTATAGGTGACAAAACAATTATTTTAGGAAGTGGGATTTTATATTTGACAATTTGCAACTAAATATATCTAAATGATCGCTAACAGAATTTGCCACTTTACACATGGTATGGATCGGAGAATTCTCCAGAACATTTGTGCGAGATCTTTTTATATATAGAAAGTACTCGGGTGTCTGGAACAGATTTTAGGAATGTAAATATTAAACTTTTCCAGTAATGTTGGGCAGTCAATTATGCTTTTGATAATTTTATAGGTTAGTGCAACACATAATATTCACGCCTTTTTTCGAGACTGCAAAAGTTATGCTTTTGTAGCAATTCAGAGTGGGTTGTTCCTATTGAAGGATAAATGTCATCGGTTTTTAGGGTTAGCAGTTTTAAAAATCGTCGTTGAATTGCTTCTATTCTATCAATGTGATATTGATAAAAGGGGCTCCACACAACTGACGCGTTTTCTAACTTTGATCTTATGAAAGCATAGAATAAAGTTTTTAAGGTCGAAGTTTCTTTGAAATCACTACTGTTACGTGCAATTAATCCGTACAAACGACAGGAGGAGGTTGCAACATTATCGATATGCCTATTACATGATAGTGCAGTCTCAAATGTGACGCCAAGATCAGTAAATATTTCTGGTCTCACCAGGGAAACATTTTCTATTGAATAATCAAAGATCAAGATATTCGTTTTCAAACTGTAGGACATGACCTTACATTTATCCGGGTTCAGTGACAAGTTATTTCGAAAACACCATTCTACAACCCGTGCTACGTTTGCTGAGAGGTTCACACAATCATCTATATTCTCAACGAGGCAGTATAGTTTTAGATCATCGGCATATAAAAGGAAATACACATCTATAACATCTGCAATATCATTAATGAATATATTGAAGAGCAACGGTCCCAGATTTGAACCTTGTGGAACACCGGAAGAAGCACTATATTCGGTAGATTTGAAACCATTGAGCTGAACATATTGTTTTCGATTCCGTAGATAGGACTGAAAAAGTGTGATTAGGCTACTAGTTTGTTCAGTAGAATGCCATGGTCAAGCCTGTCGAAGGCCTTAGAAAAGTCTGTATAAATAACATCAGTTTGGGCCCTATTGTCAATACATTCAGCAATATGTTGGGTTACAGTCAGAAGATTGGTGACCGTTGAACGATTTTTCATAAAACCGTGTTGGTTTATACTTATATTGCAACTAACATGCCGATATATAACTAATTAATATCTTGAGCAGATATTAATTAGTTATATTATTACACCATTTTCACAACTCGTAATAGCCCAGAGATTTGTAATAGCCGAAACCGGTCAACAATAAAAAAATATAGTAGAAAATAGACAAAAGTGTGTTTTTGTAGTGTATCCTCAGTGCACATGAATTTCCACAAAATAAACAAGTCGTCAATCGAAGAAGTGAGAATCATATTAGACAATGGAATTCCGAACTAATGACATTCACCATGATACATTGTAAATCACTTTCAAACAAATAGTTTATATCATATCACATAATGTGATATCATATCGTATAGCATCATGTGTCGTATCATATCATGGGTATCACATCATCATTTTTAGTGAAAGTTAACTTTCATCAAGTTGTCACAATTTATCTCTACATCGATTTGTATAACTGAGTTGTTCATGAATATAACAGTTTTCAAACAAGCTTTTAAATAATTCACAGAGAAACTATGTGTTTTCAATATTAAATTTTTCTAGAATAAATTCAGTTCAACTTATTATTTTATTATTGCGGGACAGATGATGAAGATATTCTTAACGTCTTAATCATGTTCTGGTGATGCTAATTTGGATAGCGAAACGCTCATCGAGAGATAGCATTTTTACATTAAAAGAGGTACATTTTCAGATGAGATTGATTTTTGGAGAATAGCTCTATACAAAAATGTGTAGATCATGCAAAGAAGTAACTTTCAGACACAAACTGGAAGAAAAAGCCCTTTCTAAACAATTACTTTCATATAAACCCTGAACAATACAAAAAACTTTTCTCCATTCAGTTTGTATTCCAAACATTCGTTATGGAATTGAATCAGATATCATTCATATGATTGTTACACAATAAAGTAAACGAAAGAGGTAAAATTTCACTTACATGGAACAATCAGCCTTAGTGGTGGTCATTCTATGTTTCGAAATGAGACACTTGTCTTATTGCCTCTTCAGCACTAATGTGGATAACATTGAAAGAATAAGCACTCAATTCATTCATAAAATTACGACTTTATGTCACGAATGCCATCGATGACAGTACGCGTAATGACATTCATTCGCATACTTGATTAAATCCCAGCCACAGGAATCTTGATTCCATTGAAAGGTGTTTATTTTTAGGAGAAATAAATTTTTGGGAAATGAAGGTTTTGGCTTTCTACTTCTCCATCTTTATACAAAAAAATGTGGAAATCTTTGAAAGAAAGGAGAAAGCAATCAATTTCAATAAAATAGCTCTATACAATGGTGTGTAGATCATGCAAAAATGTTACTTTCAGGCACAAACTGGATTGTTTTCTTCCTTTCTTTGAAAGACTCCAATATTTTTGTATATAGTTGGAGAAGTAGAAAGTCAAAACGTTTCTTTTCAAAAAATAGCATTTTTGTTTTCGTACTGTAATATGTCTGTTTATGGGATATAAATATATAACCACTAGCGGCTGGTGTCAAATAGTGAACGAAGATTTAATGATATTTGCGAAATATTCAACTCTTAAATGAATCATGAATTCAATGATATACTTGGCTCTCATGTAGACTACCAATTTAAATATAAGTTATCATGATAAATTGTGCCTTGTATTTTATTGTTTTAGATGTGTAGAATACCAATTCCGGGTAATACGCGGCCACAATTGAAAGTGAATTACTCGACAGTGCAGCTATCAACGAACAATTGCGTGACTTGGTGACTATTATAAGGGTACAGAAATCGATAATCGACCTAATACAAGAAACTTTTTCATTTTCATGAAATGAAACTGATACTGACCAAATTCTACTTACTATGTTATTATGAATTAAATATAGGTCAAGTGTTTTCCGAACCTGAAGTGTGGTTAGTACAAACTTAGATTGAATTTCTGATGTTGCCGATGGTGTTGATTATAATATCTTTACCACCTATGCCTTTAAATCATCACTTTAAATGATCAATTGACAACTACCCAGTAGTCTCGGACGATTTTTCGTTTCATAAATATAACATGAGTATTTGATTATTCAAGTTTGATTTTCTGGTTCGCGTGATCGTCTTTGTTCTTCTCTCACTAGCTTTTTCAAAGCTGTGTGCCAGCTATTTACAAGTAATCATCAATAATTCTCTAACGAATACTTTTATCATCCATATTGTCACCAACCCTTATTCTCTACTAGACATGAAGTATTTCAACAAGTGAATCTAATATTATGTCTTATTAGGTAATCTAAGGAGTCAAATCGGTAGATCTTGGAGGCTAATCCAATTGTTTATTGACATACAATATCAATAATTTGATTATTCCGGGCCTATTCTTAAAAAAAATCCTATAAATTACCAGCTTTTTATAATGAGAGTTTAAGATTATTTGTAAATTGTCACACTTTTCATCATTATTCAACAACTATTTCTTACTTTTTTATTCTTGAAGAATTAATTGAATGGCTCAGGCAATGAAGTTTCTTTCAGATATCAACTGGAAGAAAAATCCTTTCGAAACAACTGCATTCAAATGAACATTGAATTTCACGAAAGGAAAAAGTCATTTTGATACGACTGCATTGAATTACACATAAAACACGTTTTTCATTCAGTTGGCATTCGTGTTGTGTAGCGTTCCTATGAATTATATCTGTTTTAATTCCATAAATACTATTTTGAGTAAAAACTGAATGGGAATGGGAACAATAATACTAGTATTTTTCGTTCGTTATTGTTTTAAGCTCATTTAAAAAAATATTTTTAACTTTTTAGTTCGATGTTCTTTTAAAGCGTGTTTTTTAGTTTTCTAAACTATATTTATTCAATTTAAAGTTTCTATTGAAACACATGTTATGTGAAGCCTGTCTGGCACAATACATCAATAAAAACCGTACCCAAGCAGGTTAATTCGATTTCTAAATCAGACAGACAAACAAGCAAAAAGCTAAAAATCATCATTTTGAGTTCTAATGCATTAATGGAGATCCCCAGTTCTCAATAGTTTTTCCTGAATATTTTCCATGTGCAGACAGCGATCAGCTACACTTGTATTATAGGTATAGGAAGATACTGTACGTTGCCGACTATTTCTATATCAGATTCGACAGTACGAATATGAATGACATCTTCCATACACCGAGTTTATATTCAATTTCTATACTAGGCCCTGTATATTACTTTGAAGATATACAATTTGTTTACTATCATCGCAGCTTATATGTATAGGTAGATACTGTACGTTGTCGACTTTTTCTATATCAGATTCAACAGTATGAATATGAATGACGTTCTCCGTACACCAAACTTTTATTGAATTTTTATATTGGGCCCTGTATATTACTTTGAAGATATACTATCCGTTTACTGTCATCGCACCTCGTAAACACTTTCATTGTTGTCATGTTCTCACCGAAAGTGCATGACTAAAGAACATTGACACCAGCAGTTCTTCAACAGACGCGCAAGTTTACAATAAAAAGCGTTGCTCAGAGGATAATCAGTACTAATAAACACAGCAGTATAATGACCGATCTGTCCCCGATGGTAGCAGACTGCTCGTCCAAACACACCTCTGTCTGTGAGTATTCTTGTTCAGCAAAATCGATAGAGCAATAAACTTCGTGATGTCCTGATATTAAACGCATTCAGTAGTATTTGGGAGAAACAATTGAGACAATTTCACTTACAGTGTGTCTCAATTACAAATGCAGAATTCTGGATGGTTTCTGATTATTGCAGAAATACTGAGGTGTTCATTATGTGAATGAAAACTAACACTATCAATCGCGCTTTTGCGAATAGAAAATAATGAGAAATAATTCGAATAGGAGTTTGAAACATCTCAGCTGCCTTTTATGAAGCAGGATCCAATCTCTTGAAGATAAATACAAAATATTCTTACACACTATCTCTTGTCACCAATGTTATGTCTATACATGGGTACTTGATAAATAAATAATTGAGTATTCTGTCAATCTCATAGATGGAGATGACAATGTCTTTATTGCACAATTAATATGCTGAACTTTAACAATACAAAATTATAACCTCATATTTCTTACTTCTTCCTGTCACAATTCTTCGAACTCTTCTCGTTTATTGGAGAATGTGACGACATGACGTTACGTTATACAGGGTGTTCCAAATAAGGTGGCACCAAGGTCAACTGCGTTATTATTGATGCTACGAATTCAGTTGAATTTGCAAACTAATAGTAGCATTTATTCTTGTTCAGCAAAATCGATAGAGCAATAAACTTCGTGATGTCCTGATATTAAACGCATTCAGTAGTATTTGGGAGAAACAATTGAGACAATTTCACTTACAGTGTGTCTCAATTACAAATGCAGAATTCTGGATGGTTTCTGATTATTGCAGAAATACTGAGGTGTTCATTATGTGAATGAAAACTAACACTATCAATCGCGCTTTTGCGAATAGAAAATAATGAGAAATAATTCGAATAGGAGTTTGAAACATCTCAGCTGTCTTTTATGAAGTAGGATCCAATCTCTTGAAGATAAATACAAAATATTCTTACACACTATCTCTTGTCACCAATGTTATGTCTATACATGAGTACTTGATAAATAAATAATTGAGTCTTCTGTCAATCTCATAGATGGATATGGCAATGTCTTTATTACACAATTATTATGCTTAACTTCAACAATACAAAATTATAACCTCATATTTCTTACTTCTTCCTGTCACAATTCTTCGAACTCTTTTCGTTTATTGGAGAATGTGACGACATGACGTTACGTTATACAGGGTGTTCCAAATAAGGTGGCACCATGGTCAACTGCGTTATTATTGATGCTACGAATTCAGTTGAATGGGCAAACTAATCGTAGCATTTTTAATCGCCTTCTCGATGTCGAAAAAAAATGACAATCACATTTTCAAAATATTTCATAAAATGATATTTTTTTAAATGAAACACCCTATATTTTATCATGCATTTCGATTCGTAATAAAATCTTCAACAGAGTTCGTATCATCTTTCTTCCTTAAATTGAAAATAAGCGACTTGTGTGGAAATATTCATTTCTTTCACTATTACAAAAAGTGTCTTTGTTTAGGCGAATAAAGAGCTATAAAATATCGATTAAATGTTCAAAAACACCACCTTCTTGTTGAACAGATATTCGGCCATCAATTCTATTAATTATAGTTTGAATATGATTTTTCAGTTCATATATATTATTATATCTGGTGAACGAGGAGGCCACCTAACAGAACCCTTTGAAGCAAGTCTGTTTCCAAAACAGTCGCGCAACATTATTGTAACGGGGTCCGTTCAAAAAATGGACCGATCATTCTGCCTCTAAATAGACCACATCAAACAATAATACTAAATCGTCTTCGCGGATTGTGGTGATGGACTAGAAATGGATTATGTCTACTTCAATAATGAAAACTCTTTCTACATCCCAAAATTTTAAAAATCAGCCTCATCGCTCCATATAGAATTTCTATAGAAGTTTGGATCTTGTCTGCATTTATTCATAAACCACCAACAAAACTCCAATCGTCTTTCAGAGTTACCAGGTTCTAGTGTTTGCTCTGGTCTTAACTTATATAGAGAAATATTATGTTTCTTCAGAATTTGTTGAATAACAGACGGTGGAAGGGCTATTTCCTATTTCTCTAGATAAATCTCTGATGGAATAATTTGAATTTACCTCAAAGTAGGCTAAAACGTCAATTTATTTATCTTTAGATAATACAAAACGTTTTTTCATTTCTTTTTCTCTAAAAACTCGTTTACTGTTCCTGAATCGACGATGAAGCCAGCAAAAAAAGGGCTATTAGGTAATTCGCGATCGGAAAACGAATTGCTGTAGTATTGGAGTGCTCTTACGCTATTTTTCTGGCAAACCAAGTAGATTCTTGATGGGAAAACGACATTTCAAAAAATATTCGAACAGTAGTTGACAGTTACCATAATTTATGGCATTGTCATGATATACACACATCGGAAAAGTCTAGGGATATTTTTATAACATACTAAATATCATAAAAATAAATGCATGAGGTCGTTTAATTTCGATTAAATTGGTACACTCGACCACCCTGTAGATTTCTATGGGTTGAACAAAGCCTGCAAAAACGGTAACTAATCTTTTATCAAGTTTTTTACAAACTGTAGGTTTTCGGCTAAAATGAATAATCTGAAAGTGTCGAGTTTGTACATTNTTTTGTTGTAAGTTACATTCGTTTAATAATCACCCGTCAACTTTTTTTTCCCTAAAGCGATCTAAAAAAAAATATTGCCATTTTTAAAAATATCCCTAGACTTTTCCGATGTGTGTACTTGAGAATATTTCACAAATAGTATTTCAACATAGTTTCAAGGCAACTTGATTACTAATAATAATTCTATTTTATCGAATCAAACACATTTTTTTCCAACCGCTTTTATATGACGCTCCAGTATTATCTGTTCTGTACTAAAACGGCTTTGATGTTGTCATTATAGGAGACTCAAAATGAATACGGCTAATGAAATGGTTTTAAGATGGAAATTATCGTTTTGTACATTGATACTTAATACCTCAGGAAGAAAGGTGATATGAGCTTTGTTGTTGAGAATGTTTTTACGAATCGAAATGCAGGATGAAGTATAGGGAATTTCATTTAAAAAAATATAATTTTTTGAAATATTTTGAAAACGCGACTGTCATTTTTTTTGTTTTTAGCATCGAGAAGGCTATTAAAAATGCTAGTAGTTTGCCCATTTAACCGAATTCGTAGCATCAATAATATGGAATTGGCCATGGTGCTGACTTAAATTGGAACACCCTTTTTACATCGCTTTTATACGCCAAATAGTTGCTCTCTTCTGAACTATATCCTTTTTTTTTCAAAAACTACACCTCACGATTTGATCTCCACAAATTTTATTTGAAAAAATATATTACAACATGTTTCGCTAGCACAGTAGCTTTCTCAAGTGTATGACTTGAAAAGGCTACTGTACTAGCGAAACATGTTCTAATTATATTATATATGTGATTGACGATCTGATATACAAGGTGTTTTCAGATAATAGTTGCAATGTTGCCACGTTCCATATCTTTCTTCTATCCATTTCTGCAGGTCTATAAATGTAAGTGTATTTCAAACTGAGTCATTCCACATCACCATTCGTTCTGTTTTCGAAGTACAAGCCGTGGTTGTCTTTGTCATTTTTGTACTTTAATATTTGTAATTTTCTCTACTGCACTCCAGTGTAATATTGTACAACGTGACGAATAAATTATAGATTTAACAATGATAGATGCGTGATCACAGGATGATTACCACGCACATTTGCATCTATTGGGTGAAATAAACAAGTTTCCTTACGCTGGCCAATCAGATTTAATTGCAATCGGCTGGCCGAATTCACTGTTACAGTGTCTGAGTGGTGAGTTACGTTTTAACGCATGTGATGTGTACAAGTGTACATATACAGTATTTGAAAATTTAAAACTGCTTATTTGTGTCCCTACACTCCACCTAGAAAAAATTCCTGTAGTGCGACTCTGTACAAGCAACCTTGTCTGGTAGATCATGTGCACTATACATGATAATGTTGTGGAGGGAGCACTCTGTTACTTGGTTGGACAGAGTATAGTTATTCCGTTTCAACTCGTGTGCTTTATTCCGACCTACCCACTTGGGTGATTCATTGCCATTGCAGGAAGCCAGTCTTATTTATTTGAAAGTTTGGTCCCGTACTTTCCTTCATAGCCGCTTCTTCATCTAGTTGCTGATAATCCGTAAATGTTTTCTCCCGAATTCATGCACTTTCTCTTCTTTATCTATCGGATATTATTCAATATCCATCAGCATAGTATTAGCCGGGGAAGTATTTGTTTTTCGCCAGGCTTTTACCAGTACCTACGATGCAGGTAGTTGGGAGAGATGAATATTTCCAGATTTTATTTCGAAATATTCATTTTCTGGTATATAATTATTGATTTTTAAATGTATTATCAAATTCCTTGTGAGTGTTGTGCACTTTTCAATCTCTTTTCTATTTTATGTTGATATTAGTGCCCTGAAGAAGTCTCTATTCGGAAACGAAACCTCGAAAGTTGTATGAAAATAATAAGTTTGAACGTTTATTTAAAGTAATAACAGGATGGGGCATGAAACTGACCCTTAAAGAACACCTTTTATTTACTTTGGAGAATGTTGTATTTTTCACAAACTGGTTTTCATAGGTATGTGTATGAATCATTCAGAAGCTGAGATATCAAAACTTTATAAATGAAATGTGAAATATTTCAACGTTGTTGATTGACGGGCTGATATACAAGGTGTTTTCTGATAATAGTTACAATGTTGCCACGTTCCATATCTTTCTTCGATCCATTTCTGCAGGTCTATAAATGTAAGTGTATTTCAAACTGAGTCATTCCACATCACCATTAGTTCTGTTTTCGAAGTACAAGCCATGGTTGTCTTTGTCATTTTTGTACTTTAATATTTGTAATTTTCTCTACTGCACTCCAGTGTAATATTGTACAACGTGACGAATAAATTATAGATTTCACCTTCAAACAAACGGTGTAATCAAAATCTTTATTACTGATATGAATCACTCTCAAAATTACATATACAAAGACTGAGCTAATGAATATTATTGTACCCAAGGTCATTTCGTTCTGGTCGTCAATCGAAATTTAATATATTTTGAGACAAATGGACTTTGGCCATCGATCATCGTCTTAATGTGTATCATCATTTATCTACTGTTTATGCTGAATATAATACAATCGATAGTTCAGTCATGAAGGCCTTGTTCTTTTTGTATTACCTATAAGTTTACACTATTAAGTTTGTACAATTTATTTGGTAATAAAATACGAATAATAACTTAACCTTCCTCATGGTGATATTTTTGATAAGCAGGATTATGAGATTAATGAAATATCAAGTACTCCGATTTGCAGTTAATCAATCTCTGGATATTTTGACCCATCCAAAATATTACGTGATGCGTTGTCAATTTTCAATTGGAAGTAAAATAAGTAATTACGTAGTTATCCATTCTCAAAATTAATTTGTCATTTTCTGGTGTATCAATAATGGTTATAAATATACATTTTATTGTCGATTATTGTCTAATTCACAAGTACCATTTCACAT